AACTTAAATGGAAGAGTAGCATTGGCTTCCAGCTTGAAAAATCTCTAACATCGTGATCGGAGAGCTGGATTGTTTTACATGCTGCTCTGCAAGCAACCTGCGGTGTCAGACCGTGGAGCTTTAGAAACTCCAGTGTGCACTCTTGAAGAAAGAAAGATAAATAAGCTCTTAGTGTTACTGTGAAAAATTCTTTTAACATTGTGGACAACCCCATTGAAGGGTCTTAGGAACTGCGCCAAGTGTTCCAAGACTACAGTTAAAAACCACCGCTGTATACCATTGTCATGATTTTGGCCTACATTCGAACCTCTTAGCAGTTAAACTTCTCAAATGACTAAACCTTATTTTGTACTGTAATTATTTGGACAGATGTTCATAAATGTAAGAATGAGATGCATCTCTTATCTGTTGTGCCTAGAATCTTGTCACACGATGAGTCCTTGTTGAATTGAGCCATTTGAGCTTGTTTTGAGTACCTATATAAGCTAGAAGTTACAGAAGACAAAGTTAAATATTTCACTCCTATTCATAAGGATTATTTGATAATAGACTGTTACTTGGGGGCATTCACAATAAGTGCTATTTTGGGTGTGAATAATAATGGGTTTTTATCACTTATTAAGTACACTGTATGGTAGAAAACGTACTGTAAACTGTCCGGCAATCCTGAATTACAGAAGTTGGGGTTGAAGCAAAGAGTAATGATGATTTGGGATTATTGCTTGAGCATAATAAGGCAAGGATAAGCAGACAAACTAAAGCAGAGGATTTAAGTTTTTTCTTTCTGTTCTAGGAAAAAAACATTCAACTTTTGGCTGTGCAAAAAAATATCCAGAGTACTAGTATTCTAGGTCCATAAATTCCTGAGTTTATAGAATTATCATAATGTAAAATGTTATCTTGGGGGGCAAATCTCTATACTAATGTATTTGACAGTAATATAGTTCAGAAAAAGCTTGGGACTTTCTTGAAAAAGCCTTATAGTGGACTTCTACTTGGTAATGAAAGAAAAGTCTGTAAGGCTTTACCAAAAAGAGCCTTGGTTGCTGGGATCTAAAAGGAGTGGATGGATACCTGAGGCTGGCTGTAAAGTTTTCCTTTCCAAGTCTTCAGTTAAGTTTCACTAAAAGCTGCAGAATGGTATTAGGGAAACTTAGGAAGTTTTTGAGGCCATTTTTCTGTGGAGTAATATAGAGAAGACAGTTGGTGACTAGTTAGAAATGATAAACATGAAAGGTGTGCACGTGGAATCTGAGAATTCAGGGTGGTTAGTCTGACCAGCAATGGGTGAGTTGTATCAGTCTTCCAGGATGATGAAAGTTAGTTCTTAATAGCTTAATTGGAGTTAGAAGGAGTAAAGAATTGAGAAAGATTAAGCTCATCTATAAAAAGAGTTAAGAAGGGCGGGGGAGATAGCTCAATGGAATAAGCACTTCCCTGGCAAGAGCAAGGGCCTGAATTCAATCCTCAGTTCTGCAAAAAAAAAAAAAAAAAAAGAATTAAGATGCCATTTTAAAAAGGGTTAATATTTCAGACCTGGGGGCTAGAGAATTAACAACTAAGTGATAGGGTCACTAAGTGATTCTTACTCTATTTTAAAGGCAAAATAGTTACTTTAAGTGATTTTCTACTGATGAGATAAGATCACCTGATGGTGTGACTTCATAAATAGATATTTTCCTTTCATCTCAGATGTAAGAATGGTAGAACAAGAGTCTGCTCCAAGTAGATTATGAGCCTGGGGAGGATGCAAAGTGTTTTCCTGAGTCATTGAGACACAGCCCTAACAGCTCAAAACCTTGCTGATTCTGGTCTCTTTCCTCCTTTTCTCACTTTTTTTCTGAACTCTGTATCTTTTCTCAAACTACATGGGAACTTAAGAATATAAATAAACCACAGAAGAGTCCATTCAAAACGGTCCACCAGGGGCCACATGGGGTGACACATACCTGTCATCCCAGCAATTAAGAGGCTAAGGCAGGACGGTCGCTGTGAGTTCAAGGCCAGTCTGGGCTACATAGTGAGTTCAAGGATAGCCTGAACTATACAGCAAAAGCCTGTCTCAAAAAACGAAAACCAAACAAAAACACCACCAGGGATTAGAAATAATCATGTTTTCAAATAGTTATCATTGATTCAGAATGAGTGCTTGGAGACAGTTTCTCAAAACCATGGAAATGTCCTTCATACAAATGCAGTTTGATTCCATTCCATTTGTATATCAGCCATCCTTTGACACCATTGGAGAAAGGCACATGTTCTCAATGTGCAGCCCAAGCTATGTAAAGTCTGTTGTGGCTGGGACATCTGAACTCCAAGGATAGCAGAGCCTTCATCCTTAGGAAGGTAAGACATTGGGTTGTGGGGATGGGGAGATAGCTCAGCCATCTAAGTGCCTGCCTGGCAAGCAGGGACCTGACCTCAATCCCTAGTACCGTATGTCATGCTGACCCCGAAACCAACATGGTGGTACACACCTATAATCCTAACACTGGGGAGTCTGGGACAGGAGGATCACTAACAGTCTGAATTGCATAGCAAGACTCTGTATCAAATTAAAGACAAAAGAAAGAAAGAAACAAACTGGGCTGTGGAATATGGACCCAGAAAAATAATCATTGTATATCTGCTGTGTAAAAGGGAGTTCTTTAGCTATATAAATCTACCCTCAAACAGCTAATAATGAAAACATGTACAAAAGTTCCTGCAGAAGTTTCCTTCCTCTCCTTGTCCTCAGTCTCTGAATGTTGGAATCTTTATATCTCTTCCCAATGTTACTCTCCAGTCTTGTGGTTTTACATAGTTAGGTTGATGCTATGGTTTATATTTATATGTCCCCTCAAAGCTTCATGCACTCATAAGTGGGGCATTTGGGAGGTGAGTGGATTACAGCTATGTGGTACTGGATTAGTCCACTGATGGATTTGGTAGCTGGATGTGATGTTGGGAAGTGAAACCTGATTAGAAGAGATAGGTCACTGTGGGTGTGCCATGGAAGGATGGAGATATATATGCTGCTTCTTCCCCTGATGGCTCACTGCTTCCTGCTGCTATGCCATGAACAATCCTCCTCTACCCTGCCTTGGAGCCAGCTGGCTGTGGACTGAAAGCTCTATAAACTGAGCTAAAAATACAGTAAGCCTGGGCTGACATAGCTTAGTGGTCTAAGCTGGCAAGCTCAAGGACCCAGGTTCGATTCCCACTACCACATACTATGCCGACCCCAGAACCCTGACCACACCATACTGGCCACAAAACCAGTTGTGGTGCCATATGCCTGTTGTCCCAACACTGGGGAGGCTGAGAAAGGAGGATCGCCATGAGTCCAAGCTGCATATTGAGACCCTGTACCCTATAAATAAATGAATAAATAAATTTATAAATTTGAAAAATACAATAAGCCTTTCCTCCTTTAAAGCGTTGCTACTAGCTTGAGCCACCGATGGGTACAGATATGACTGTCCCATTGGATGGCTTGAACCACAGGTAGTACAAATGGATCTCATCACTTTTGCCCATCTTTTTACTAATACTGTTGTATTGTTTGTTTGATACAGGGTCTCACTATGCAGTTCAGACTCATAGTGATCCTCCTGTCTCAGCCTCCCTAGTGCTGGGATTTCAGGTGTGCTTCACCATGCCCAGTTGCAGGGCCAACACAGCATGCAGTGCTGGGGATCAAACTCAGCACCTTGTGCTTGCCAGGCAGGTGCTTATGCCGCCGAGCCCTCCATCTTTTACTAATAAAATTAATAAAAAGCCATCCAATGGGGGGGGGTAATTGTGTATATATCACTGGTGGTTCAAGCCACTTGGTAGCAAGACATATGAATTACCCACCCTAGTCATGATCCTGTTAACTTGTGAGTATTGGATATTTTGTCCCAGCAGCTAGAAAGTAATTAAGACAGTTGACTGCTCCCATTTATAACTATCTTTTTGCCATCTTCTCACTGCCTAATAGACATACAAAACATAAAATGTCAAAACTGAATCTATCTCCTCCCACAAACCTCTTTCTCTTGCAGTTTTTTGCATCTTGGTAAATGACAATTGCATTCCTCTAAATGCTTAGGCCAGAATCTTCAGTCATTCCTGATACTACATTTACATATCTTTTTTATCAAATCCTGACTACTATAGTTTCACTACATATCTTAGGGTCAGATTAGGGTTAGGGTTGTGTTAGACTGGGCTAACCCACCATTGTTTCTTACCTGTATCATTCCAATAGCTGCTTAACTTCTTCCTCCTGTTACTTTGCCTCTACTCCAAATCTGCTCAATATAGCAGTAAAAATGATTATTTTTTTAATGTTAAATTAGAACTTGCCCTTGCTATGTTAAATTCCTCCCATTGTTTTTCCATTTCAGTAAAACACCATTTAGGGGTCAGAGATGTAGCTTGGCATCACAGGCACCTGCCTGGTAAGCACAAGGTCCTGAGTTAGATTCCTGATACTAAAATAAAACAAAACAAAACGCCATTTAGCTACCAGTTAACTTGGACCTGGTAATCCTGCTGTTACCGCCACCTCCATCCCTCTGTCTAGTCACATGTACTCTCTTGCTCTCCCCTGAACACCAGAGGGTCTCTGTTCTTGCTGCTTATGAGGCTAACATGATCTCCACAGACAGCTACATGATTTACTCTTCCGCCTTTTCAAATGTTTCCTTAAGAGACATGTTGTCAATGAGGAATTCATTGATTACCATCTTTAAATTACCTCCTATAAAAAAATACATTACCTCCTACATCTGTTTGAGCACTTGTTGTCTGCGGGCTTTGCTTTAGTTTTCTCCAAAGCAGTTGTGGTCACTGAATGAGTAGATACCTAACACAAGACTGTGTGTGTGTGTGTGTGTGTGCGTGCGTGCGTGCGCATGCGCGTGCCCACATGTGTGTGCACATGTGTGCTGTCCTTCTGCTGTCAAATGAAAAATTCAGGATAGAAAATTTTGTTTGCTGCTGTCTCGATACCTGGAAAAAGTGATGTATTGTAGGTGATTAATAAATGAATTGAGTAAGTGAAAATTCCAGAGAGGATATCTACCACGAGGAAAAGCAGAAAAACCTGAAAGCAGTTCTAAGTGGTTTGTATCCATAAGCTTATATAATATGTTCTGTTTGATTATGTATTTCTAAAAGTAAAAATAAAAATATGTTTTTTAAAACAAAAGCCATTTATCTCAGTAATAAGGCAGTTTTTTAAAAATAAATCAGAAGTTTCAAATTAGGACTTATAGAAACCACTTCAAAGCATACCCTTACAGGAATGTAACTAAGAAAAGAAAGATAGAAGTTGGGTACATATATGTATCACTGTACCTGAAAGTCAGTGCCCATGTGGAAAAGTCAGCAAAATGAAAGAACTTAAAAATCTTGTTTTTCTCTGTGCCTCTTGTATTGGAAAAGAAATAGTCTACTTTAATTTGATCTTTGTTCCATGGGGAAACAAAGTCAAATTGTTTTTAATGTTTTCTGTATCAATGTAAATATCAAAGTATATCACTTGGTTGTATTTGATGAGATGGCATCTTAATTTCATATATCAGACATTGAGAAACTTCTAAATCATAAAGTATATTTAGCATACAGAATCCTTATTTTGATAAATTGCTTTTTTTTTTTTTTTTGGCGGAACCGGGGATTGAACTCAGGCCCTTGCCCTTCCCAGGGAAGCACATATTCCACTGAGCCATCTCCCTGGCCCCTAAATTGCATATTCTGTATTTAAAAGCAGTAATTCTTATATTATTTGTCATGTACGTTCTTTGACTTGGACATTTGAAATTTTTTTTGCTGACTTTGTAACATTGATTATTCTCTTGTTTCATTTTTGAGTCATTGACTTCTCTTTCTCAGCATTTGCTATAATTTCAGCACTAATGGATATGGCATGTTCTTTTCAGATAGCAGCAGTGGATAGTGGCCTGATAGCTCAGTGGACTAAAACGCCTGCTTAGGCAGAGCGCAGTGGCCAGGGTTCAATCTCCAGCATGCCATGCCAGCCCCACCCGTGGGGTGTGCTGAGATTGAGACTGGCCGTGGTGGAGCACGCCTGTAATCCCAGCAGTTGGGAGGCTGAATACAGGAGAATCACTGTGAGTCTGATCTATGTAGTGAGACCCTGTAGACACCGAAGACCTTGTCCTAATTACAAAAGAAAAAAAAAGCACATAGCAGAATTTAGCCCCTCAATGCCTTCATTTTGATTCATCTTGTACTTCTATCTTCTTCAAAGAGGAGAGAAAAAAATATTCACTTCTTATTCACTGTTTTCAACTTAAAGGCAAAAATTTTGATGACTTAAGGCTACATTTTCTCTTAACATTCTTCTCATTTAATAATGGAAACTGAATGAGAGAAGGGAATAAAGAGAAGAGTAAATGATGGAGGGAAAGGCATTAGCAATCACAATATAAATAGTTTCTCATTACTCACCAACTTGTACTTTATTCCTTATGGTACCTCCAGTGGCCCAGTTATATTTACTTGACGCTAAGCGTGATGGCAAGTATCTGAAATCTCAGCTACCGAGGAGGCTGAAGCAGGAGGGTCACAACTCTGAGGCCAGCCTGGGCAACTTAGTAAAAACCTGTCTGTTATGTGTGTGTACAGATGTGCCAAGATGAAACCCATTATTCTATTAACTAGTGTGAACTAATAAAAAAAAAAATGGCTGGAGATAAAGCTCAATGGTAAAGAACCCTTGGGTTTGATCCTCAGTACCACACATGTACACACACACACACACACACACACACACACACAAATAGTTGTTGACCTGAATTAAATCTTTTATTTTCAGTTGTCTGGACCTGGAGCAGTGTTCTCTTAAGGTATTGGAGCCTGAAGGAAGCCCAAGCCTGTGTTTGCTGAAACTAATGGGTGAAAAGGGTTGTACAGTCACAGAACTGAGCGACTTCTTGCAGGCTATGGAACACACTGAGGTTCTTCAGCTTCTCAGCCCCCCAGGTAGGTTTTCCCTTAGGAATATTATCTTGAAGTTCGTGGAGCAAATCTTAGAGAAAAACCTCTTATTTTCTCAGGTGAATTGGGTGAAATAGTTTTGAAACATAGAAATACATAGAACCTCATTTTTTCCTGTCTTGAGACTCAAGGAGACATAAAAATAAAAAATGCATAAATGTTTATTGGACTATAATTTTAAAAGCCAGCTATGTACTGAAGAGGTAAGTATGCTACAACATATATTGAAGTAATACAACCAGTAAAATGAACACGTATTTATTTTTGTGTGTATACATATATATGGATGAGATGATATAGAACAGAAATGTATTAGTTTTTGCAAATGTAATATTATGGAAATGTTCATTAGTTCAACCATATGAATTTTTCATGTTATAACAATATTGGTGAAGGAATTAAGGTTATCCCATGTATATTATCAGTTCATAATACAATAAAACTAGAAATCATTGGTAAAAGTCACCTTAGAAAGTGTGCAAACATAAGGAAATTAAGTAATACCCTCTTGAATAATCAGGGAGTCACAGAGGAAATTAAAGAAGAAATTAGTTCCTATAATCAAATGATAATGACAGTATGACATACTGGAACCTATAGGACTCAATGAAAGCAGTCCTAAGAGGGAAGCTTGTAGAAGTGAATTACACTTTGGAAAAATGTAACATGCACAAATAACCTAATGATACACCTCAGGGTTCTAGAAAAACAAGAACAGTTTAAACTCAAAGTTAATACAAGAAAGCAAATTATAAAGCAATTATAAATTAATGTCAGTGAAACAACAACAACAAAATATACGAAGAATCAGTGAATAGGAGCTGGGGAGACAACCCAGCCGCATAAGTATCTTCCTCACAAGTGTAATGTCTTGAGTTCAATCTCCAATACCAAATAAAAAGAATCAGTGAATACAAGACTGGGTTCTTCGGTAGCTTAAACAGAATACACAAACTGTTAGCTAACCTTATCAAAACAAAGAAGAAAAAGACCCAAATTCATGCAATTAGAAATGAAAGAGCAAAAATCATAATGAATTGTGCCAAACCCAAATCATCAGTAGATACTTTGAGAACCTGTATTCTAATAAAATGGAAAATTGAAGAAGTGAATAGAATGGTAGATACAAATGAATTACCAAAGGTGAATCAAGAAGATACAAAAACCCTAAGTAATCCACTATCAGTAAATGAAGTCGAAAAAGTAAATTTAAAAAACTATCAACTATGGGGGCTGGGGAGATAGCTAAGTGGTCTAAGCTTCTGACTAGCAAGTGCCAAGGATCCATTTCGATACCCACTACTGTGCCAGCCACCAAAACTGGGCGTGATGGTACATGCCTGTAATCCCAGAACTGGGGAGGCTGAGGCAAGAGGATCACTACGAGAGAGCTACATAGCAAGACTCTGTACCAAATAAATAAAATATTTTAAAGAAATTTTTAAAACTACCAACTAAGAGAGGAGCCAGGGAGATGGCTCAGTAGAATAAGCGCTTCCCTGGCAAGCACAAGTTCAATCCCTGGTTCCAAAAAACTACCAAGAAAAGCCCAGATCTCAATGGATTCATTGCCAAATTCTACAAGAACTTTAGACAAGATCTAATGCTAGTACTCCTCAAACTTTAAAACTTGAAAGGGAAGCAGTACTCCCAAAACTCATTCCTAGAAGCCAGCATTGCGCTCATATCAAAACAGAAAGCAACCCAATGAAAAGATAAAGGTCAGCATTTTAAATGAACATACATGCAAAAATCCTCAATAAGATACTGGTAAGCAGTATGCAATAAATCATCAAACAGTTTATATGCTATGACCAGGTAGAATTAATTTCAAGGATGTAGGGATGTTTCAACATATGCAATTTTTTTTTTTTTTTGCAGAGGCATGGTTTGAACTCAGGCCCTTGCACTTGCCAGGCAAGCACTTATTCTACTGCGCCATTTCCCTGAGCCCTTCAGCATACACAAATTAATAAATACTCATTAATAGCTCTAAGGACAAAACCACATGATCGGGGCCGGGGAGATGGCTCACTAGAATAAGCGCTTCCCTGGCAATCGCAAAAGCCTGAGTTCAATCCCTGGTTCCGCAAAAAAAAAAAAAAAAAAAACACATGATCATCTTAATAGATGCAGGTAAAGCATTTCACAAAATTTGGCATTCATCCATAATTAAAAACGCTAAAAATAATATGTATGAAGGGTCTTTATTTCAACCTGATAAAAGCCATCTATGACAAATCAACAGCCAGTATCATACTATATGGTCAAAAGCTGAAAGCTTTCCCTCTAAAATTAGGAACAAGACAAGGATATCGCATGTCACTACCTCCTTCAATACAGTTCTTGAAACATTAGCCAGAGAGTTACTGGGCAAGAGAAAGAAATAAAAAGAATATGGATAGGAAAGAAGGAAGTTAAATTATTTGCTAATGACATGATCCTCTATGTAGAAAACCCTAAAAACTACCAAGACTGCTAGAAATAAAAATTAGATCCAGGAAAACAATATGCAATGTATTAATTATTGTAACTATCCTAACCTATTCTGAAACTGTTTCATTGCTATTTTGTCCTTTTTTCTCATTAAAATGAATAAAAATAAATAAATAAATAAATAAATAAATAAATTAGATCCAGTAGTGTAGCAGGATACAAAATGAGCACTCAAAAATCAATAGCATTCCTGTAAATTAATAACATACCCAGAGAGAAACTATGGAAATAACACCTTTCACAATAATATCAAGAAAAATGAAATATTTAGGAATTAAGCTAACCAGGGAAGTGAAAGACCTGTTCAGTGAAAATTATAGTATTCTGCAAAAAGAGTTTGAAAAGGATATTAGAAAGTGGAGGGCCAGGAATATTTCAGTGGCACAGCACCTGCCTGGCAAACCCAAGGTCCTGAGTTTGTGTCTCAGTACCAGGAAAAAAAAAAAAAAAAAGAAAGTTGGAAATACATCCCCTGTTCCTGAACAGGCAGAACCAGTATAATAATAATTTTTAAAACCATGCTTCCAAAACTGTTATACAGATTTAATGTAATCCCAACCAAAATGCCAATAACATACCTCACAGAACTAGAGAAAAACAATTCTAAAATTCATGTGGAACAAGAAGAGATCTAGAATAGAAAAAGCAGTTCTCGGCAAAAAGGGTAAGGCAGTGGGCATCACAGTACTGGAACTCAAGTTATAAAGCTACAGTGATAAAAATAGTATGGTTTTAGCCAAAAAAAAAGGAAAAAAGGAAAAAAACAGACTCAAGGGCCAGTGGAACAGAACAGCAGATACAGAAAGAGCACACACAGCTCCTATACCTTTGACAAAAGAATTAAACACCTTTACTGGAAGAATGATAGCCTCTTTAACAAATGGTGCTAGAACTAACTGTATGTGTTATACTGCACCTAGTCCTATCTCTTTCACTATGCACTAAACAAATTGAAAAGGATCAGAGGTCTAATAAGACTTTTCCCTGGTTACACAGGAAGCACTACAAAGAATCAACAACCGAGATCACGTCAAATTAAAAATTCTCTGCACAGTAAAGGAAACCAACAGTGAAGCAATTACCTAAAGAATGAAAAAAGTTTTGCCTGCTACACCTCAGACAGAATGAGTATCGAGAATATATAAAGAGCTGGGGAGATAGCTCAGTAGAATAAGTGCCTGCCTA